GTATGTAAATTAAAAAAAAAAAGTATTTAAAAAACTACCTTAACAGCATAATATATGCTATCTCCCTTATAAAAAAAACAAATCTCATAAATGTCTGAATTAAGTGCTTGAGTTTGTGAACAATGGTAACAGAGAGCTGCTTACACAGATGGCTTCAAGACAGCCTTTCAATTACTGAAACAGTTTAAATGTCGACGTCTTTTTGGAACGTGTTGGGAATAGGCACAAAAGGCCCTTCGTGGAACAGCTCCAAGTCATTGCCACTCACGCCGTCAGTCTGGACGCCCTCCAAGGTTATTTCATCGATGGCTGCTGCGTCTTCCAATTCTCTCGACCCCTGATAGTACACAATACGGTTTCTCCCTCTCTTTCTTTCTGCCTCTAACACACACACAATCATTGACAAAGTAAACCACCCTCCTAATCCTGTATTACTTTGATTTATGTGGTGTTTTTTTTTCAAAGCAATTTGATCACTTATATTACTGGTATGGAGTTAATATACTAAATGTAATCTAAAAGTTAATAGAATACTTTTTGTGCGAAAAACAAACAAAAATAACGACTTTATTTGACTTCCTTTTCTATTCCCTTTCTTCCTTGTAGGCCTGAGACGAGAGTTCAAGAGCTTTCCACGACACATGCCCGAGAACTGCGATCTACAGTAGTAGAATAAGAATGCAATTCTCGCGCATGCGTCGTAGAAATCTCTTGAACTCTCGTCTCAGGCCTACAAGGAATAAATGGAGTAGGCAAATAAAGTCGTTATTTTTGATTGTTTTTTCACACAAAAAATATTCTCGTCGCTTGATAGACTTGTATTTGAGCCACTGTTGTCACATGGAATATTTAAACACCGCCAAGTTTCGATTCCTTTGGCAGCCTATTTGTAGCAGTGATCCACCTCTCAAATTTAATCAAAAATATCTTCATTTGTGTTCTGAAGATGAACGAAGGTCTTACGGGGTTGGTACAGCATGAGGGTGAGTAATTAATGACTTAATTTTCATTTTTGGGTGAAGTATCCCAAGTTTATTAAATAAAGTTTTAAAAATCATTCACTATGGTAAGTGTTTTGAGATATTAACATTACACTGTGCACCATTCTGAAATTAATCAATAATCTGTCCCTGTAATCTTAATTTGTTTGAAAAGGAATATAAGCTGTTGGTATTTCATTGCCACTAGTGTTCATTTCAGCTGAAATCTGCAGTGAATTGTGTATAGGTACGTCTTTGGAGCAAATTTCACAGTCACGTTTTTCCAATGAGCCTATGTTGACATTTTTTTAGCACTTCTGAGGAATTGTGTCTTCCTAAAATGTGCTCCTTTGTTATAAAACATTGCCGACTTGGTTGCAGAGCACCAGGACCCCTTCCATCCCCTCCAAACTCAGACCTAAAAGATTATAAATTAGTACAAGTGGGGGGTGAGGGCAGGATTAAGGATGCTGCATAATCTAAAACAAAGGATGCTTTTTTTTCCAAAAGGGTTGACAGGGCAGATTAGGACTTTGTCGGTTAGGACTTATGGGACTTTTCCCTTAGAAAGACGCACACTTGTTCTCTTTACCCACCTCCTCTGGAATACCATCACTGCCGTAATGAGGTACTATGGGAAATCGACATAATACTAGCTAATAAGGTCGAGGTTGGCGGATTTGATTAGGATAAAGGAAGACGCACAGGCTTTATGCACCTCTTTGGCTGTCTTAGAACAACGACTTAGACTTCAGCAATCGGGTCTGACGACGATGAGTCCAATAATATTATGGCAATGGTGATGTAAGACAATGCTGGAGAACTGAGGGCGAGGGTGCTGAGATATGTGCTGTAATTGAGCAGCTGGAGCAATTGGAGGCCATGGGACGCACTTTTAATTTCATCACTCTGTCAGCTTTTATTAAAACCCATTCGTCATAAAGAGGAGAGCGAGAGGCTGGGCCGTGTGTCGGAGGCTGCATTGCCATTGCCTGGTAATTCAGGCTTCGGAAGAGTAGAAGGAATCGTGATATTGGAGAGATTGATGACGAAGCTTGGTTTTTGGCGTAAGTGATAGGAGAACCCCTTCCACACCATATACGCAAACATCAGCCCAGCCATCAAGTAACAAATGGGCTTGTCTGGGGAGGTCAGTGAAGTTGGGGAGAATGCATTGTGGGATAGTGTGCATCAGAAAGGTAAAACCCGAGTCGGATAATTATCAGTCACATTGATCTGAAGTCCAACTGCAGTGAATTTGCCCAGTGTATTGAATTGTCGCTAATAGCTGTTTTTCCTCACAGGCTAATGAGATTACTTCAGCCTGCCGTCGTTCTTGTTTTGTTGGTTGAAGAAATAGAAGGCCTTGTTTGTTGCCGGCATTGTTTGTTGTTGCGTTGCGTTTTGTTTTCACGGGGGACTGTAAAGGAGGGCACACATATGCTAGCTAGTTCTCAGATAGGGCTGATAGCTTAGTTTTGGCACACAGTTTTTGAAGTGTCATCAAAGTGTAAACCCCCGTCTCCCCTCCTTCTTTCTTTTCCTCTGAACTCTCTCTGTCCTCTACGCTGTCATCCCACCGAACCGCAGCGGCTCCATCACGCCTCCTTCAATCAAAGCAAATTAAATGATTCATTATTTCTTCCCGCCCACCAAAAGATGTAGAAACATAAAAAATAAAAGAAAGGCACTAGTGAGAATAGCTTTTACATCTTGTCCCATTCACGTTTTCGCACAGAACATGTGTGCAACTAAAGAATGAGCCAGAGAAGGGCAGGATAAAATGAAGTGTGACAACATATGAATTTCAAATTTGCGGAGAGACATCAAAGTGCGCCATCCTGGGCGCCTTCGACAAGGACGCACACTGATTTTTAATCCAGTCGCCCCGATTGTATCGCCACCCTAACGAAGAGCTGAGCGGGGCCCTGCCAGAGAGAGTGGCACCGGGCAGAGGGAGATAGAGAGAGGGAAAAGATCAGAGACGAGAGAAGAGGAGATGGAGGAGGAGGAAGGCGAGAAGAAAGGAAAAGCTTTTCCAAACGCAGGCGGCCAAGCCCTTTGTTGTCGTCTCAATCAGAGTGCCCCTTTCATCAGAGCGGGAACCGTTTCCACTCCTCTCCGTTTCGGTAAGGGGGAGTGTGTGTGTGTGTGTGTGTGCACATACAAGTGTTTGGTGATGGTGGGTACCTCTTGAACATCACCATCTGAGGACTTTAGCCTCGGTTCAAACTTCAGTTACAGTTTAAATATGACACTGCTTCTGTCTATGAAGGGATTTTTCCCCTCTAATGCACTCCTGAGAAATCAATGGAATTAAGAAGGGTTTTAAAGAGATACTCCACCCACAAATGAAAATCCTGCCATCATTTACTCACAAGTTGTATGAGTTTCTTTCTGCTGAACACAAAGGAAGAACGATTGGAACCAAGCAGTAGTATGGCACCATTTACTCCCATAGTAGAAAAAAAAAATACTATGGAAGTCAATGATGCCAAAGTTCCAATCATTCTTCAAAATATCTTCCTTTGTGTTCAACAGAAGAAACTCATAAAGGTTTGCAACAACTGGGTGAGTGAATGATGACAGAATTGAAAAAATATTGTTGGTTTAACTTAAAAAATGAAGTAACCTGGCTGCCAAAAAAATGTAAGTTCATTGAAATGGAAAAAAAATAGTTAATACAATGAAGGTGATTGTTTTAATCAGAAACTTAAAATATTGTTATCTGAACTACATAAATTATTTAAGTTGATTTGACAAGAAATAATGTTACAAATCATTAATGATTACAAATCATGAAAATATTTTTTACAGTGTGGAGTATACCTGTAAGCATTGAAATTTAGCAGGGTACCAAATAAACTGTTTATTGTTATTATAAAATATGTATAATAATGAATATTTGAATAATTGAATATTTCTTAGAGGTCATGAAAAACTATTTTGAATTTATATTTTCAAAAATACATTCTCATAGTGAAATTATGGGAGCTTGTTTCTGCCACTGCATTAAAAAAAATAATAAATAAATAAAGGTAATTGCAATTTTTATCAAACAATTCCAATTTTTTTCTTAAGTTAACCTTTTGCAATTCTCAATTCTGAACATATAAACTGGCAATTGTGATTGAAAAAAATCAGAATTTTTGATTTTATATATGCCAATTTTGAGGAAAAAAGTCTGTATTGCGAAAAGTCTGTATTGCTAATTGTTGCAAAAACATGAAATAAATGTCTTAGAGATAGTCTACACAACAAGAAAATGCTAACTTCAAACTCAGCTCATGCCATTCTAAACTTGTATGACTTTCTTTCTTCTGTGGAACTAGCCCAATTTTTTTACTTTCATTTGTCACTTGGTGGGTGATAATTTTGGACCGTGCTTGTAGGCATAGCCAAGTGAAAAAGTTTTGTGCAGTTACAGATTGTGGAAGAACTGGAGAGAGAGAGACAGACAGTATACAAGCATTGCTACTGTGCCAGTCTATGTGGCTTAGCAACCAGAGGAAAGAGATCCGAACATGAGCGAGAGCATGTGAGAGTGTGTTCGCAGCCAAGTATACTACAAGGAAAAGCTGCCTCTAAGCAGTGTCATGGGGTCAAATCCTAAATGGCTTTTACACGTTTTACACACAAACACATTTGCTCGCTCTCTCTGTCAAATGAGAAGCTTTGCCACTTTGCTACACAAATACAGGGTTAAGGATCTCGGTTGACAGTACAAAGGGTGCAGGTTCAATTCCAAGTGCCCTTGACTACAGCACCCCAGGCTGCTCCAGGGAAACTGTCCCTGCAGGTAATCACATGTACAATAAGCACACTTTTTACAAAACATAACTGTTTTACTTTGTTTATTGTTTTTAAGGCATCTTCGGAATTACATCAGACATAATAAACCATCATCAAGTGTTTTTTTTAATCTATTAAACAATGACAACATCTATAATAAAGATCAATTAAATAAAATAAAAATACACATTAATCTAAAATAAACAATACATAAATATGAGTAGTAGTCATATTTAATATTTATAATAATATTTTATTATTTGAATAATGTTTGAATAAATTATCATTAAAAAAATAAAGAAAATACTGAACAAGCAGATGGTTCAATGTGTTTGTGATTGAGAGAGAGAGAGAGAGTAAAATGTTGGAATGTGACACTTTTGGCAACATCATGCCCCATGGCATTACCTGAGTACATGTGGTGCAAAAGGGACCTACAGGCTCCACACCTGCTCCAGTCCACATCCTGCACATGCCACTCTGCAAGATACAAAAAAGTGTGAATGTGAGACTGTGTGAAGTGTCACCTCACTTCAAATGAACGAACTCATTTGCACATCTTCATTCCTTAGAGTGCACGTTTGCCAGGAAACAACATCGTCATTTATACCCGTGTTAAAGGGTTAATTCACCCAAAAATTTTAATTATGTCATTAATGACTCACCCTAATGTCGTCCCAAGCCCTGTAAGACCTCTGTTCATCTTCACACAGTTTAAGATATTTTATATTTAGTCCGAGAGCTTTCTGTCCCTCCATTGAAAATGTAGTTACAGTATACTGTCCTTGTCCAGAAAGGAAATAAAGACATCATCAAAGTAGTCCACGTGACATCAGTGGGTTAGTTACGATGTTTTGAAGCACCGAAAATACCTCTTGGTCCAAAAATAACAAAAACTATGACTTTATTCAGCATTGTATTGTCTTCCGGTTCTGTTGTCAAGCCGCGTTCACGAGTCCGCAGTGACACTGATGACGTGAGATATTGCTGACGTTTTATCTGGTGTGCCCGTGTATTCGGGTTCAAATAAATATGGCTGGGCAAAAAAAATACAAGTCTTCCTCTGTGTCGAAATCCTTAGACATGTTTGCAAAGATTGTTTTGTTTACACCGTGCTTCTCCCTCAGACTGTAAACGAAGCTCAGGCGCACTGATAACACGTCAGCAGTGTCTCACGTCATTAGCGTCACTGAACGCGGATCCACAACAGAACCGGAAGACAATACAATGCCGAATAAAGTAATAGTTTTTGTTATTTTTGGACCAAAATATATTTTCGATGCTTCAAAACATTCTAACTAACCCACTGATGTCACATGGACTACTTTGATGATGTCTTTACTTTATTTCCTCTCTGGACAATTGATACCGTACATACATTTTCAATGGAGGGACAGAAAGCTCTCGGAATAAATATAAAATATCTTAAACTGTGTTCCGAAGATAAATGGAGGTCTTACGGGCTTGGAACGACATGAGGGTGAGTCATTAATGACATCATTTTTATTTTTGCGTGAACTAACCCTTTAATTGAGGACTAACAGTCCTCAAATGTCTTAGAATCGCCGTTTTTTGTCACATAAGCCTTTAGGTTTAAAGCATGTGAGATTTTGTCAGGTACACTGTGTGGTTTAATGACAGATGACTGTTTGCCCCCTTGTTCCTGTCCCTCAAGTGTCCTGATGGGTTAGCGGAGTAGGGGCTGTTGTATCCACAGCTGGAGGTTGTTTGGTTGTGAGGAAGAGAGGAAAAATGAATGGAAATCTCTCATAGCCCACAGCTGCCTTGAGAAAGGAGCCGTTACTTATAATCTTGTACCCATGGGTTTGAGTTTGAGGGTTTGTTTGCTTCCTTTCTTTCTTTCTCAACTCCTCCTCATTCCTTTATATTCGGTAAGCTCTGTTATCACATGTAATATTCTGTGCATCTCGTTGTGTGAAATGTTTACGGGGCAAAAGACAGACATGTTGCCTTTTTTCAAAAGTCCAATTAAGTCTCAAATCCTTTTTGTCATTAAATACATATCTAAAAGAAAGTGTTAGGTTTTCCTTACATTACTGTTTAGAAAGATTTTGTTGATCAAGAAATTAATACTTTTATTAAGATGCATTAATTGATCAAATGTGACAGTAAAAACTTTTACATTTTCATTTTTTTAATTCAAATAAATGCTGCTCTTTTGAATTTTCTATTCATCAAAGAGCTTCCCCAAAAATATTAAACAGCACTTTTCTAAACATTTTCTTTAATAAGAAATGTTTATTAAGCACCAAATCAGCTAATTAGAATGATTTGTAAAGGATCATGTGACACTGAAGACTGGATTAATTATGAAAATTCAGCTTTGCCATCAAAAAAATAAATGACAAGTTTCAGTATACTGAAACAGAAAACAGTTATTTTAAATTGTAATAATATTTAACAATTTTAGGTTTTTTACTGATTAAATAAATGCTGTCTTTGTGAACATAAACGACTTCTTTCAAAAAATAATTCATTTGAAGTATAATATTTTATTAATTAATAGTGTTTATTAATATTAATCAAATGTTATTAAATGTTTTTTTTTATTATTATTTTATATAACTATTGTAATAGCCATTACAGTGAGTGATCACCTTTGAGACCTACTTTGTCCCAAATCCCAAGTCACATTCTTAATGTTAGTGTGGCTCAAGTCCGAGTCTCTCCTGACAGAAGGCTGTTGGTATGAGATGAGTGTGTGTGTGTGTGTGTTAGGACAGTAAAGAGATAGAGATGTGTTTAGCTCGAGAGTGTAAGAGAGAGATAGAGAGATGCAGCGTGCACTGCCTCCGGCTACCATTATGTCTTCCATTTGTCTGTAGAAGTATGGGTCAGTGTGTGTGAGAGGATGTTTGTCTGTTTGCTGTGGTTAGTCGTGTGTGTGTGTGTGTGTGTGTGTTGGGGGACAGGGTTTGTTCTCATTATCATGTGGTGTGTGTGATTAGCAGGCTAGCTGCTGCACTAGGCAGACTGCATCGTTTACCATGCTGTCAACACTACAGCCTTCCACCGAGCTCGGCTATTACTCACCATACAAACACACACACACACACACACACACCGACATGCTCGCTACATGTGTGGGTGTGCATGACCAAGACAAAATGCAGCAGAACTGCGTGCAAGAATTTATAATTTGCATAGTATCGTACTCAAATCAAATCAGCGCATAGATAATAATAATAGAGAGTGATGGCGAAAGAAAAAAACTTTTTGCACATCCTTGTATGTTGCTGAAATGAATCAACAGCACTACTCTGTAAAAAATGAATACGCCATATCTAATCTAATCAATAAAATTGTGACAACAGATTACAAGCAATATTATTAATTAAATTAAAAAAATTAGAACTGAGTAATAATTAATGTAATTAATTCCTCAAAAGTTAACCAAAATTTACACAAAAAATAAACAAAAATATCTGAATAACAGATAGACGTCAAAGATGAATGAAGACCAGTTTATTTTACATTGTCAATATTGAAGACACCTGATGTTAACAAGCCGAATCACTGAAGGAGAAAACCATAATTGTAACTAAGTCATCATTATGGTGATCAATGTTTGTTTTAGTTGGGCTCTTGGCCCTCAAGTCATTCCCTTCAAGTTTTGTTTGGCTGAAATGCCTGACTTATAACAGTCAGATGAACAAATAGAAAAGGTGATCTGATGGTGGTAACCTGGTGGTTATGTTTTATACATTATACAACATAATATTTTTTTTTTTACAATCATTTGACTGGTTAACTTTTACTCATTACTTGTTAACTTTTAAGGAATTCATTTGATTAATTATTACTCAATTCTAATTTTTTTAATTTAATGAATAATATTGCTTGTAATCTGTTGCCACAATTTTATTGCTTAGATATAGCATATTATTTTTTACAGTGTAGCCAGATTACCTGACACATACAGTCAAACCATAAATGCGTACAGTATGAATAGAGAGAGAGATTTTGCATAACTACTCTGAACCACACACAAGGAAAGGCAAATCAATAAAGCCTGTCATAAAAGAATGGGTGGCTGGTGATGGCCTGAGATGATTATCGGACTGCATTAAAAAATATTTTTAATTCCCAGAAAAGTATTGATAATTATTTGGAGGTAAAATAAGTTTGGTGATTCAGAAGAGCTCAAAAAATAAGTGCTGCAATCTGAGATGCATCCTCTTGAAAAAAGAACACTTTCCCACCCCATAGATGGAAAAGAAAAGAGCGCGTGTGAGAGAGAGAAAGCGCATCTAAAAGAAATGGAGGGATTAGGGCTTTGCAAGAGTTTACTATGCTCATTTTGCACGGGGACCTGCAGGATTATAGATAACAAATGTTAGCGGAGCGCTCTGACCTGCTTGCCGAGAAAAAAAGTGCGTCTGTTCGTGCTAAAACAGCAGAGTTGGCTTTTGCAAAGGAAAAGGAGTGCAGAAGAAAAAAGATAAAGAGGAGTATCAGAGCGGGTGGGAGGAGTGAAAGAGGAGAAACGTTGTAAGAAGGAGGAGGAGGAGGTTGCTTTTAAGTTGCACACTTTGCCAAGACGCAGTCGGGGTGGTGAATCACGCGCAGCGATTGTTAATTAATGAAGCGATTAATTGTGTCGACCGGGCGATTGAGGAGATTTTCAGCGAGGTGCAAACCTTAAGCCGATTTAGTTAGTCTACACACAAGAACAGGCTCTGAGTGTGTGTGTGTGTTACACTTTCTACTCAAGCAAACTAAGCCTTCCTATAAACTCTTTTTGCTAATCATCAGCCATGCTTTCCCAGCGTGCTCTGGCCTTCTCTCCCTCCCAGTCCATTCCAGGACCTGCAGGGCTGAAATTGCAGTTGGGGCCTGGGGGGATTCGGGCTTTGCTATCTTGACTGACCCAAGCGCCAGCTGCTCTCAGACTGGTCAATCCTCTATTAAAAGCAGTCTAATTTAATTCAGTCTACCCCGGCGAGTGCTTGACCACAGACGACATCGAGACAGGAGCACTTGGCGTCTGGTCGTGACCCCTTTTGGGCTGGAGCTGGTCTGGTCACTCCGCTCTTTGCCATCACCGTCCCCAGTACAGAGCTGCCCTCGAAAAAACACACACATAAGGTACACATAACCCTGTGGCTACAAGTTCAGTGCGGACATATCGTGGTGATCTCAAAGCATCTGTTGCTAAAGCAGCCTCCCTAACTAGATCATCATCATATGGTCGAATTCATACCCAAATGCCCCTTGATCCCGTTATTGGCTTTTTCAATGGATTCCTCAGATGTCTCTAAAGCAAGTCGCTCGGTCCTTTCAGGCCCCTTTGAGCCTAATGAAACACAAAAGCAGGAAAAACAGACAGAATGAGTAAACACAGTGGAACTCCACGGAATGACCGAAGGGGACGATTTGGGTTCATTAGGCATGCATTAACATGAATTACTATCTAATTAAAAGGAAGCAAGTCATTAATAAGTTTGGTGAGGGCCTCTATGCTCTCTTGAGTGCGCAGTGACATGTGGAACTCTGCGGCGTTGTGCTGGTTAGCCTTACTGTGGCTGCCACCAGGGAAGAGACACACTCCAGTGCAACAGACAGTTTACATGAGGAAACCCACAAGGTTCATCAAATCAATCATTAAATATTTAAGTTACTGAATAATGATTAAATACGGCTGCACAAGGTTTTTAGAAGTACTGTTATTTCCCAAGCTGGGTTTGATGAAAGAAAGACAAGTGGATTTTCTGATTATGTCACTCTACAATTTAGCAGGAAACATGTGTGGATGTCAATCTCACATCTACAAGTTACATTGTGACTAATATATGTATTTTTGATATATTTTTTATAACTATTGCCAGGGCAATGATTAATCGCCACATGTGTAAGTAATATTTGCATATGAGGCCTACTGTATATTTTATATATAAATAACAATTTTTTTCTTAAATATACCATATATACATGCATGCATGTGTGTGTATTTATATATAAAAATAATTATAAAGAGTACACGCATATATCATGTAAACAAACTTATTTTTGCATGCGATTAATCGTTACATATATACAGTATATATTGATATTGGGTTTTTGAAACAAGTTTTATGTTGTAATTTTGAGTAATTCTTTAAACAATAATTGTTCTTAAATAACTATAAAGTTGTTAAATAATGTGATGTGCATCACATCTTTTATCTCTGGATGTGCTTTCAAAGAAGGCAAGTTATGTTTGCATATTTTCTCTATCATCATCATCATCAGCTTTCAGCTCCATTAGTCCTGTCAGAAGAAATGATGAAACCCGATCATAAGCTGTATTATTATAAACATAAAAAAAATATATCATGGTTACACTTTATAGAAACTGTCATTATTAAGTCATCATAAAACATTTTAGAATGTATATTATCAAACCATCAAGTAAACATCCTGGGAATGAAAATCAAATGTGATTGTGAAAGAAAGAAAAGAAACAACTGGATTTTCTGATAATGTCCCTCTACAATTTAGCAGTAAACTTGATGTCAATCTTTTTAGCTAATTCGTATGAATTCGTACAAATGATCTACTGTACCCCTGACCCAGCCCCTAACCCATCACGTTGGTTTAGACAAATCGTATGAATTATCCACCTTTTAATCACTCGTGCGAATTTCTACGAATTGGCCATGAGATAGCGTTGGATCAGCATTATGTGATGTTTGATAATGACTTATTAATGAATTAAAGTGTCATTTAACTAGATGTAAGACTAAAGAGAGGCCAAATATATAATGGAATTTAACATTCAACAGTAGTGTATGATTCAGAGAAGTCCTGAAATCTGAAGAACAATTTGATATCAAGCGAAAGTGAACAGAAAATATTTGCTATTGCAATCATCCACCGAGCCTAAACATTAATGTCAGCGGTTGATAAGTGAGTGGATGGGTGTAGTGGCAGCTTGTCCAACATTACAAACCCACTGCATCACAGGGATTGAGGGGAAAGTGACGTTGATTTGATTGACCATTGTGCAGGCAGACAGTGGAAGAGAGACCCAATGTATTCAGAAGCATGCTTCTAACCCCTTCAGCCCACAAGCTGTTTACCACTCTATCAGCTGCTTACCAAGGGTCTGGCTGCCATCCATATTCAGACGCCACAAATTCCACTGCTTATCTCAAAAAGCCCCCCTCCAAAAGCTCCCTGTTCCCCTCCACACATACATACATACATAAACGCATCTTTATGGAAGCAAGTGGCAAGTGCGCACATGGATGGGGGCAGGATAAAGATCGCCTTGAATTCAAAGCAAAGGATTGTAGGCCTTGGCGGACAGAGAGGGCAGCAGTACAGGTGACGGTGTGTGAATGTGTGTGAGAGAAAGAAGAAGAGATTGCAAATAAAGATTTGTATTTTTATCAAAAATAAAAGCAGATCATTTTAAAGCACAGATAAAAATATATATATTATAATTATAAATAGAAGTCAAATTCAAATGTAATTAATGAATACACTCTAAAAAGAGATGTGTTAAAAAACAACACACATCATGTGTTGATGGTATTTTGACACAAGTTGTGTAGTTTTAACACACAATGTGTGTTAAAATGTAACTGGATAGAATTTTAATGGGTGGAGGGAAGTTTGTGTTTATGAACCTAACTAGAGGTAGTATATTTTCTATGGTATCCCATAACAAGCTCTAAAATAAATGAAACAATACATTACAATAAATAAATAAAATCTTAATTCATAAAAAAACTTCAGATTAATGAGTGTTTTTGGCAGCCAATCACATCATGCCTCGGTTTCAATGTTTTTTCAAATGCTGATTTCACTTGTTATTGATAACTAATTTATTATAACAAACAATTTATTTCTGTCAGACGTCTACAGAAACACTTATTGAGAATTACCAGGTTTTGTGTTGACGATTCATTGAATGTTTGTTTTGATGTCACCAGAATCGTGATTAGTGGCAGCTTTATTTGGGCTCTTGACCCTTCACTCTTAATCATTCGTTTCTCTGTTTGCTGTTTCTGTGTATTTTTATTGCACATCTGAAACAGTTGAAATTATCTTGAGGAAAAAGATCATTAAATGATCATTTTTCAACATGATGTTTTTTTAACATAGCAAGAGAAGTTTAATGTTTAAGAGATAACGTATATTTGATCACTTATATTTGATTACAGATACTCAGTTTTTACATGATATTATGGTGTATGCTACCTCATGCTATAATTCTTAAAAAAATATATGTTTAGAGAAAGTTTAAAGCTGCAGCAGAAACTAGTCAAATACAGACATCAAGAATCAGCATATGACTCTCAACAATGGTGGCAAAGCTTCATGTCTCTATAAAGCTCATCCATAAGTACCAGCATGCATTGCGGCCTGAAATTTTTCGTTTGTCACCATTATTGAGATACATACGCTGATTCTTGATATCTGTGTTTGACTGGTTTCTGCTGTAGCTTTAAACTTTTTTTGTCATTCTGCACTTTTTGATTGCTGGATGTAGATTCACAAAACTTTCAGAACTAACAATAAATCATTATAATAAAGCACACCATCCATATACTCAGAAACTTGATCATAACTTGCTGATTATGACATCATCAAGAACCATCTGATCATATTTTCTATCACCATAACAGATGTATTTTATTAAAATACAGTTACAGCAGCCAGAGAAACACTAAAACAAGAGTAAAGGGTCAAGAGCCCAAATAAAGGAGCCATTAATCACGATTATGGTGACTTGAAATAAAACTGAAATGAAACATCAAATCTCTGTTAATTCTCAATAAGAGCTTGTCTATATAGATTAATGATGTTTAAAACATCCAAATGTTCAAACAAACTCTATTAGACATCACTGGACTACATAAACACAAGTTACCAATACGTGTCAATGTTCATCCAAACACTTTTGTAAGCACACGGGAAGTAACTCTGGCAAATACTCTCCGACTACAGTCACATGTGACGCGTATCTGACACAAGTTGTGTTACTATAACACATTAGTGTGTAAAAGGTTTCAACAACACACTGCTGCTGTGTAACACATTAGTTGTGTTAAATGTAACACAAAATGTGTAATCCTTATAAACACAGAGATGTGTAAAGAAACAACACAGGTTGTGTGTTAAATTTGACACAACATGTGTTGTCCTTGAGCAAACACACTAAATGTGTTAAAATCTACAAAACGTGTTAAAATCTACACAACATGTGTTAAAATCTACACAAAATGTGTTGTCCCTGAGCACACACACTATATGTGTTAAAATCTACACAGCATGTGTTAAAATCTACACAAAATGTGTTGTCCCTAAGCACACACACTATATGTGTTAAAATCTACACAGCATGTGTCATTTTTAACATCTCTTTTTACAGGTTGTGTTATTTACAAAATCATTTTATAAGAGTGCACCAGTGTAAATAAAACTTATTTACACACAATATTTTGTCAGTTGCTACATTTTAATCTAATTCAAAGTGCAAACTTAGTGAAATCACACTCCGTGTTAAGAACAATAACACACTGGTTGAGTTAAAAGTAACACAAAATGTGTTGTCCTTAACTAAACACACAGATGTGTTAAGATATAACACAGGTTGTGTTGTTTTTAACACATCCATTTTAAGAGTGTAGGCATTAAATTTAGAATTGGAGGAAATGGAAAAGAAGAAATTACCAGTGATTTGACTATTAAAGCTGCACTGAAGAGAAAATGTTTAGAATGTTTCCTATTTATTTTAGTTAAAGCATATTATCTGGCATCCTAATTTTGTTTAAAAATTTTCTAGAACCATAGGGTTTTTAAGCAAGGGACCCCTGGGGTTCTGTGAAGGTACTGCAGATGTCCGAGGAGAAGATATATGAATTAAAATTACTTAAATTATCATTATGTCGTGGTGAGTTTTAATGAAAGTTATTAAATGTTAACTATTGAAAACTGTCTAGGATATTGTAAGAAATTGGTGCTTTAAAACATCGTTTAATTTAAAAATTACTAGATTGACTAAATGCACTTCTGAACTTTTATATATTCAAAATCCTCAGAAATGCCGGTAATGGGAAAAAAATGAATGTGGTAGCCTGTAATTTATAAATAGGGTTGCCATCCATTAAAAAAGTACCGACAGCGCCTAGAATTAACTGTGTAAAAAAACAAGGTTAGTCTCTTAGCTGTTTCTCATACACATTATGTTTTAAAAAAAGGCTTGTTCTCTGGCTGTGAGGGAAGAGTACCCTTCTCTCTTTGCACTGGCCAGTGATTGAAGTTAGGAACTCCATGGCTAATTGCGTGCCTGTGCTTTTACATGAATATTCATGCTTGCGTCTTCTGGGCCCCGCCTAATTAGCCCAAAGATAAGTCGAGAGTTGGAGAGATATAGCCCACACCTTTTACGGAAAGGAAAACATTCACGTTCCACTCCCTCGGGATGCTTGCGGAATCGCCTGAGTTCATTAACCAAAAAAGAGAGAGAGAGAAAGAGGTAGACTATACCTGAAAAAGCGCAGGATGCCTCTGTAAATTCGTGGCTACCCAGGAAGCGCGCGTACCCATTACGCATGTCTGTCAAAGCCAACCGGTGAAAACAGAATGAGAGGTGAATCTTTAGTAGAACGAGTCTTTAATTAAAACTCTCATTTAAGTTTGAGTCGATATGTCAGTATTGTACTGAAGGAGCTTCTTAAAGTTGGGTAGGACATTTTTTTAATCTATTTTTAAAAGTGTCAAAATTGACTTAACTCTAAGTAAATTTACTACAATGGCCTGGCTACCCATCATTATAGACATCAAAAGAGACATCAAAATTCATCATAATTATTTTCCTTATTATTTAATATGTATAATTTGTTATGGTCTTTTTTTTAATGCTGGAATGAAGATTGTAATTTTAACTTTATTTTCTAACTTCTAGTTTGTATCAGAGTGGGCTAGTGATTAAACATTTATATATATATATATATATATATATATATATATATATATTATCACACAAATGTATGAAGGGCCAGTTAGTCCTTTCTGATGACACTCATCCATTGTGTTTTGAACTTCAACTCCTTCAGGACGGAGATTTAAACTCCCCTTGTGTAAATCAAATAGAAATTATTTTATACCTGCTGCAAGTTTTTAAATGATTTATTGTATTTTGTGTTATATGTGTGTATACTGCTGTCTACACAAATAATTGCCTTTGAGTACAATAATAAAAAAAGTTATAAGTTATTGATACAATCAAATTAATAAACATGCAGAAATTGGAATTTATGCACAGGCTGATGCAGCATGCAAAATAGAATATACGGGTCAAAACAATGAAACTTTCTAATATAAACTCTCTAATATGAAAATGTTTTAGCATTTGGCGCCCACAGATAACGGATGTACTGTATATTAGCTGTTTTCTGAACTCTTTCTCCTGTGCACTTTTACGGCCTATGGTTAATGGAGGGTTTGACCGATCAGACTCTAATTATATTCAAGTGGAGGGGGTCCCTCGTGCAGATAAAAGCACGTGACTAGAGACGCGTGAATCGTGAGAAAAGAAGACTGGAGCCTAGAATCCAATATTTTTTCTGAACGAAATGAGACATTTTGTATGCGAATTAAACTATGTTAATAAAATGTTGCTCTTTTATAGCTACTTGAATTAAAGAAGTAATGAAAGCTAATTTTACAGCAAATACTTTCATTTGATTTCGTAGCCTGTTTTAATTCAAGGCATCCGGTTTACTTCTAATACAGAAAATCTTGTAACAGATAGGCTAGCAGGGATGACTAAAACTTTTTTTTTTTTCTTAAACTTCGAGCTATAAAATTCTGTGAGCAGATTAGTACATCCTGGATACTCAAAGGCCACGATTGTTCCCTACTGTCTTTCATTGCCATCTTACAAAACAAGGGCTATTATTTGTCTTTTCCTGTATGGCAAATCATTCATCTGCAGGATCAGTGTGATCCTTTCAAACTGCTCTCCATAGCAACCTCGTGCATCCCAGGAAAAATTCACCTCGCACCACACAAGGCCATATTCTTTGCGAAGGAAAAAAAGAAGCATCTGGGCGCTTTTTGAAACACTTTCTTTCGCTGGCAAACTAAACGAAGAGTTTGACTGTGCTGCTATTGTGACGCAGCTCTCTGGGCAAAAATGACCGCTCTTTTTATAGACTTCCAAATAAGAGAAACTGTACAGGGAAGCATCCTCGTTAACTGCGGCTCTCGAATTGCATTCGGCTATACAGCACGCTTTAGATTAATTAAAATCCTGTCATCTGCTTGCCTATGGGTCACGTGTTCATTTTCGCCCTAAATCATGCACACAAAATATTTTTAATTTGCAATAATGTAGGCTAATATACGCAGAACCACCGCGTTTTTCATTATGGAAAAAAAAACTCTATAGTTAAAAAAAATTAGCCAACACTTGTTTAGAAATTACGTTCAGACAATATATCCAAACGTAAATAAAGAGAATAGTCTAATATAAACGCTTAAAAGCCACAGAGTTTAAAAGATGTGAAATCATTCTAATCAAACACATATTATATTAGTTAAATGCTTTACTCAAGTTATTAAATTACATAAAGGTTGTTGTAAAAGGAACCTGCATGTTGTTTAATTTGGTATTAAATGCAATGATGTTGAAATTTCCCTTTGAAATAACCCTGCGAGTGTTATTGCATATGTGATAAATAAATAAATGGTGGCTTTACATAACCACGCCTTTGACAGAGTGGTGACGAACACTTGTGACCCTAAGAACATCATTTAGGTTACACTTCCATGAACGCGCGAAGCTCGTGCAGATGGACAGATAGGAAAAGCAGTGTGTAAACTTACCACTGAGAAGCGTTTTGGTTTGACGCCTGAATTCTCCGGCACATTTCCTCGCAAAAGCCTGTGGAAACACCCCATAAGAGCAAGACAAACACACAAACACGAACGTGAACTAAAAAAAATACACTGAGGTAAATAATTTAAATAGAAGTGATACCAAAAAAATCTTCTAAAAAAGCTGTGGTTTTAGATGGAGTCGAACGTGTGCCTGATTGCGGAGTTTTAGACGACTGGAACAGGAGAGATGTAAGATTTGTTTAAAGCCCCACATTTCCATTTAAGAACGTGATTGTGTTTGCAAAGATCCCTTTCAATCTTCGCATCTCCCCCTCTCTACCCCTCAGCGTCTCTGAGGCTGCTTTGCAATTCATAGAATTGGTAATTTGCTATTGGGACAAAACGTGAAGGGAAAAATAATCAGATCAGCCGGGAAAGGAATACGGAGGAGGCCAGGAGGGAGAAACACTGACTTTCTCTCGAAGTTACTGTTTAGAAAGATGCTTCGAGTGAAGATATTGTCAACACGCCGCAGCTTTGGCTTTGTATGTCTGTAAAAATCTGTTGGCTTAATTTTGAGTTATATAAGCCAACAACTGAAATTGACTTATTTGTAAAATGACAATTTTACTGAAATGTATAGGCTAGCTACTCTTAGTAAAATACATCAAATAGGCTATTATAAATGCGTAGGCTAGCCTACGTTAAATTAAGTTAAATTAAATTAGATAATAGATTATGGATAATCTATTTATTTACATGGCCGGCGGTAGATTGTTTATGCATTTATGCATAATGATGGAGATCGTCTTGATATGTTACAGTTATACAGTGTGGGCGGTCTGTATTTCTGTATGTTTTATTAATTCGAATCATGGTTCCGTGATGGTGCATAGCTTGAATAATCATACATAGGCCTAATTGTGTTATATGGGTAACACTTAAATAATATTGCTATATAAACACCTTTTAATGTATCATAGTGGTTTTCATCGTTCTCGTGGGTGGCTCCTGAGATACTTTAGAATACTAATCTACTTGCAAAGAGGAGCGGTACAGTTACTAAAAGAGGCGATGCAAGGCGGGTCATTCTTCCACCCCACCAAAAAGAGTGCCACACTCCCCCACGTGGTTATTTGCAAAACAACCCTCAAAGCCCAGTAATTTCCTAGGGTTTTGCTGCTCACGCTCTCTTGACTAGTGGGGAGAGGAGAAGAAAAGGAGAAAAAAAAGAGAAAGCGTCTAGTGAAAGCGGCCAATTGCGAGTAACTGGGATCACGGCGCCCGGCAGCCAACCAAGCGGCCCGCGAGAGGTAATAAGGAAACCTGGTGGGCTGTAGTCGGCGAGGAACCAATGCACGCGCAGGGGAGGCGTGTCTTAGCTCTTCCCTAAGACCTCCCATAGCAGGTTGTTGCGTTTTGGGCTCTAAAGCTCAAAGATCTCCGAAGTGCTTCTCAGTTTTCTAAGTCGGAGCCATGGCGACAACAGCTCAGTATATTCCGCGGAATAACTCATTGCCTTCGAACCCGCTAATGCATCCGGATTCGGACAGGATGCATCAGGGGACGACCTATAGAGAGGTGCAGAAAATGATGCACCACGAGTACTTACAAGGGCTAGCGACCAACACGGGACATCCGATGAGCCTAACGCACCACCAGTGGCTGCCAACCTCCAACACCGACTGGACCAGCGGCACCCACATCGGACAAGCGGAGCACAACAAAGCCAGCGTGCAGAGCAGAGAAGACCTGGGGAACGGGTACCACAGATCGCACCTGGTCCACCAGCCGACGCAAAACAGCCACCACGGATCATGGGCGCCGACCACAACACACCACTTATCCCCGCTCTCTCCCGCCTCCAATGGTCACCAGTCGCTGGTCTACTCGCAGACGGGCTACACTATGTTGAGCCCACAGCCGTCGCTGCACCACGGCTTGCGGGACCCGCTCCACGACGACGCGGGTAGCCACGACAACCAGATGGAGTCGCCCCAGCAGCCGTTCAGCCACCATCAGGACCACTCGGACGAAGACGCCCCCAGCTCCGACGACCTGGAGCAGTTCGCCAAACAGTTCAAGCAGAGGCGCATCAAACTTGGTTTTACGCAGGCGGACGTGGGCTTAGCGCTGGGCACGCTCTACGGAAACGTCTTTTCCCAGACCACCATCTGTAGATTTGAGGCTCTGCAACTGAGTTTCAAGAACATGTGCAAACTTAAACCTCTGCTTAACAAATGGCTCGAGGAGACAGATTCAAACACTGGCAGCCCCACGAATTTGGACAAGATTGCAGCACAGGGCCGGAAACGAAAGAAGAGGACCTCCATCGAAGTCGGAGTGAAAGGGGCACTGGAAAACCATTTCTAAAGTGCCCAAGCCCTCCGCACACGAAATCACCTCTTTAGCTGGCACTCTGCAGTTGGAAAAGGAGGTTGTGCGTGTGTGGTTTTGCAACAGAAGACAGAAAGAGAAAAGAATGACACCGGTGGGGGTCCCTCATCCAACCATGGAGGACGTATACTCGCAAGCGGAGACACCCCCTCTCCACCACACACTACAGAGTCCTGTCCAGTGACTGCTATAGCATAAACAGTGTCCTTGTTTCAAAATAAACTACATTGGATTTTGTTTATCTCCTTTGTATATCCCAAGACATCAGAGACAGAAAGTTTGGGAAGAGTTCGCTGACAGTGACCGGACAGCTTATACGGGACGCCACTAATTCCGAATAACGTGAAAATGCATTAAGTACCGCGTCCGCATCGCGTGCATTTATCAAATCAGTACCAGTGTTTACGAAAATCGTATCGTTTGTGCACTCTGGAAAAATTCGATTCTTTCACCGCCGAAAAAAAGGGGAGCTACAAGCCACGAAAAGGGCAATGTCTCCTTGGACAAAGGAGAGAGGACAGTGATTTTGTTAAAGCGATTAACCAGATTATTACAATGATTATCTGTATTATTTGTGTCGTTTACTTTATTTTGAATGTTTAAACGCTAAGATCTTTTCCTTCTGTCTAGCGAGTATTTTACTTTAATTTCAACAAAGACAGATGAAATTGGTGATGGAAACAACAGGCACTTGGTCAAAACCTTCAATACAAACAAGTGCACCAGGAACTGTTTACAATGATCATTTCTTAGCACCTGATATCGTCTAAAGATGCAGAGACGTTAAAATGGCAACATGAATACACTGTCTGAAACAATATTTAGTCATTTTTGAGTTCTACATGCTCTCATTTTTTCCTCTTTGCATGAGGCACTTATGATAATAATGTTATTTTAATTTTTGTTCATGTTTGTTTGTTTCGTTTTGTTTTACACTGTATTTGTTCGAGGTATAGGGTACCACATTAATGCTTTACTTGTTTACAATTTTCTTTTCCAAATTCGTGTTATTTTGAACCGGCACTCTTTCCTAAGTCTGCTCCAGCTAAACATATTGAGAGTGATGAGTCAAAATGAAAAAGAAAGAAATATCTCAGGTAATTTTCAGTGCCCAAAAATCGTGCTGTACTCTTAGTTCTTCTTGATTATTGGCCAACTCTTGACACTCTCTATGTCAGCTGTGTCGTTTAGTTTATGTAACTTACATACATCCTACTCATGAGCTTGGACACGGAGAAAAGTAGTTGTTTTAGTGAATAAGGGATGTGTTTTCGGTACTTCTTTGATTGGGGTTAAAAAAAAATTAGGAGGCTGGTATAACGTTTCTTGTCGTTTCTCAAGCTCTGACATTTTTCATTGGACAGCAGGTGTTCATTTCTGAAATGTTATTTGAAAAGTTGTGAATATACAACCTTTTCCAAAAAAAGTAATAAAATAAAAATAAATTACAAGAGAAAAGATTTTAAATAAATAGTTGTCAGGATTATTTCCAATATGTAAATATGTCGAATATGTAAACATATGTATTTGTTCTGGGTTCTTTGTTTTGTTTTTGTTTTCCGGGCAGTTTTGTACACTTACTAATTCCAGAAGATATTTTAATATTTCATTTATGACCATTATATATATTTACTATATATTTATTTCCTACGTGTGTTTGGAGCTTTTTTTGTTCGGCTCTGTTGATTATGTTGCAGTGGATTACAAATGTTTTGTTTACTACATTGGTTGTATGTTGATTGCGACATGTAGACTGCAAAGTCACGTTTATATTTATGTTATAGTAATATTTTATTACTTACATAAAACATATATACAAGAACACGACTTCTGTCTTTTTTGAAGCACATTTTCATAATGGTGATGGGGAACGAAATAAGGTTTCATGAAATCCCTCTCAAGTCTCTCTTTGTTGCGATTAAAACCTCAAAAGCGTTCAAGTAGGTTGATGTGTTTAAATCAATGCACGGAATTACGCTTTGATCATAGGCTATACTTTTTTCAATTCATGATTGAATAAAAATATTTCTCACAAGGTAGCCTACAATATTTTAAATATGGACAATAGTACAGTTTAAAAAAACACACACATATTTTAAATGATGTTTTGTGAGCTATACCTAAATGTTGAAATTTCGCTTTCGCTCTAATAATAGGTTATAATTAAAACTTAGATTAATAAAGCTATACAGTCACCACAATTACCCACACAATGTATTAATAATAGGCTACA